GTTAACAATTAATCAGTGAGATAGTATATACATACTGGGAACGCCAAGCAACTTCATTGTAAATAGACAAATGCACCTGTGAATGACGTGATGGCCGTAGCCTTGTATATCAAGATTTTAAATACCGAGTGAAACAAAGACAAGGTGCCAGCATACACTGGAAATGCTGTATGCTGCATGTCCAGCCTCCATCAACATCTGTAGTGATCTTTTCGCGATCCCGAGCCTTGCGCATAACCATTGTCATTACCTGGTTGAATGACTTCCTTCAATCAACGTTAAATGATTACCCAAAGAGAAAGTAAGGTTAAAATCCTAAAGATATCCTATCCACACGGTATAAATACTGACAACCAATTTCCTCTAACAGTCAACTGTCACCTTTGGTATCCCAAGCAATACTCGCCATGGTCATTGGGCAAATTTAAAAATCACAAACCCTAACGAGATTCTATCTACATGGTCACACCCGATGATTGTGAAGATCTTATATTCTATCAACAATGAGACAACATGGCTGTTCATAATCATTTCCAATATCCGATTATTTTTAGTGATAAATGTTAGAGTCCCACACAAAACTTTCTCTGAATAATTCTTAAAAAATACCAAACAGAAAGTGGTTTGTGGGAACACGGGACATATTCCTACGTGAAATAATAAGACATAAGTAGCGGTGATTGTTCTATCATAATTGTACTATCTAATGCATAAATTTGGCGAACGAAAAACGTTATATTTGCAGTCACCTGGAGTGACTCACGCGAGCAAAAATTAAAACGAATATGCCCGCAATCCACAAAAATCACTTCATTAATGGCTAACATTTACCAACACGCGACAATCGTGTCAACTCGGGGGTTCCCCTAGCACACCCGTGTCACATGTGTGTTAGGGAAATGAACTTTAAGGGCACTAGTGTACCTATAAATGTATGTCGCTATTGAATATACAGGTCAGTTAGTGTGTTAAAACGTAACGTCAAATCAGCACTATTTCAGCCATATAGTGACGAGAACAAGTTATACATTTATGATAAATATAAGAAGAATGATAAACACCTGTCGTCGACGGACAGTACAGTTACAAAATCATGAATATACAGGTACATATGGAGGCAATAAATAGCTCTGTGAATGTGTATCATATAAAAGAGACACATTAATGAGAGTTCTGAGGTTTATGTGTATATTATGCACAATGTTACATGCAGACAGGCGTGAGAAGCAGATTTGTTAAGTATAATATATGTACATTTTACAGAGATATCTGCCATGTTCAATACAAACATCGTCAGATTTGCGACGATATCGAACTACCAGAAGGCGATGATGAACTATTTCAGGACGGCGTTGTTAAAATCCGGTATATAAATTGGATATATGTTATTGCGAAATGTTGGTGGCCTGATTATCGACAAACGGTGCGTCAAAACGCAGCCATTGTCGATTTGCAATGTTCAAAAATGCCATGGAGGAAAAGAGTGAAGCAAAATGCACGTGCAAGTTATGGCATTCGTAACTCGTGGTGGTGGCTATAGAAAGGCAAGCATAAGCCAATGATTTGACATTCAATGGTCAATATTTTTCAAGTTCGAGAACGCCGAGACCCAGGCTGCCGATCGGAACATCGGCATAGGACGTATCGAAAGAGGGGAATCGCAGTCTTGTGTTGCACGCCACTTCAACGTCCACCACAGCACCATTTGCCGCCTTTGGGACCGATACACACAGTTCAATTCCACTGCAGACCGTCCAAGAACCGGCCGACCAAGAGTTACCAACCCTGCACAGGATCGCTACATTCGACTGTTCCACCTACGTTATCGCAATGCCACAGCTACGGAGACTGCAGGGCGCATCTATCGTAGGCAGTTTGGCAGGGTATAGGTTTTAACAGGGAGTCTATATATTTTAACAGGGAGTCTATATACGTTTGATATATTCCCTCTGTCAAGTAAGTTGATTATATCTATTTAAGTATTGAAAGTGTTGCCGATATAAATTATAACAGCAGCTGGGCTATTATAGCTATGGCCAACAGCATGAAGTCATGTGCAGGTCAGTCGCTCCTAATTAGCGCTAGAGAAGGACCGGTTGGCCACTGAAGCTTGACATTGTGGATGAGGTGCGGGATACAGGTAGTCTGTCTTACGGACCCTGAAATGAATATATGACTACACTTATTAAATGTTTGTGATGTGCAAGTTTGATAATAATTTGATAATCTACTTACCCTGACAGCATCGGTATCCTTGCTGCATGTAAAAGCAGACGCAGAGCTTTATCTTCGGAGATTTCAGATCTTGTTTCCTGGAATAATGACTTTCTACGAAAATCCCTTGATTCAAAAACATCTTTAGATCTTAGTCTTTTTGTAACGTCAGTTCCATGGCACTGGTACAAAGATATAACAGTCTTTTCAAATGATGTCACAAGTCGGCTTAAAGTATTGTCCACTCGAGTTACCTCACCTCGACATTTTCTGCAACCAGTATGTGTAGATCATTCACGATGAACTGACACTTTTAAAACTTTTTCAATCAGAAGACATGGCTCTGTCTTAGTACTTCCAATAAAAAGTGTTACCCTGTTTGATGCTATATCAATGAAACTGCCACATATAATGCAAACAGAACCTTTAGATTTTGGAGAAATATATCGAGTAACTTTGAAATCTTCGTCGGAGTTTTCGAGAGGTCAAGTTGTTTAGCCATGGGAATCACACTAAATGCTGCCCCTAAGCTGGTACCCAAGCTTGCTCTCAAAATAGATTTCTGGACATTTAATACTTACTGCCCTCTAAATTGACCCCCCAGCTTCCAGTGGGAGGGTGTGTGTTTGGGGAGAGGTGGTGGGGGCAATAAATTTTCCTGTCACACACACTTTCAATGGCATGCCAGTGATGGGTGATAGGATCCTTTACACGTGTCGTAAAATTCCAAGAAATTATAGCTCTGCAGATTTGTTTAGTCTCTGAAAATAAAGAGAGTCACTGGGCTTCCTTTTATTATATTTGTATTAAGATAACTGAACAACTGTTTTTTTCTGTACGATATGTTCATTTCAGAGACAAGATGTTAGTCTAGGAAACAGGCTGACCACAGAGGTATCGTATTCGATACGTGGCAGCTGGTCAGTGATTTGACTGGTTAAAATTAGAATACTTTCTTTGAGTCGGGAATTGACCTTCGGACAGCGGCTAGGCAGGTTGGCTATCTGACGCCTCTGAGATGCTGCCTGGTCATTTCTGTCTCGGTATCATAATCATGATTGTATAGATGCTGTGTGATATATTATATCATAAATAAAGTAGTTGTGGACCCACGGATGGACTCCTGTGTTTGAAGAAGAACAGATATCACAAACTTTACAGCCCGGGATACATGGTTTGAGGAGGATATCGGACCAGACTGTCAGGAACTATCTTCGCCAGGCTGGAATACAACCCATAAGACCAGTTATCGTCCCTGTTTTGCAAAAGATCCATCGACAGCGACGCTTGCGTTGGTGCCATACCTTACAGCCTTGGAATTTGAGAAACTGGAGACGAGTGTTGCTTAGCGATGAATTACGACATGGAAGACAACGTGATTATCGTCGTCGAAATGAGCGTTTTGCCCCACGTTGTGTACGTGAATTCGACAAATTCGGTGGCGGTAGTGTCATGGTGTAGGGGGCCATATCCTACACCACGAGATCTGACTTGGTTGTGGTTCAGGGAAACTTGACAGCAAATAGCTACATGAATCAAATTCTTCACCCTCACCTTCTTCCAATCATCGACCGCCAGAGGAGCTGTTTCAACAGGACAACGCTCCACCGCACACAGCTCATGTCACTGTAGACTACCTTCATAATGCCAACATCAAGGACTTGCCCTGGCCGTCGAGATCTCCAGATCTCAACCAAATCGAACACCTCTGGGATGAACTCGATCGACGAGTACGTCAACGTCAGAACACACCGCAGACACAACTGGCCAACGCGTTACAAGCAGAATGCCCCAAAGTCCCGCAGAATTCCGCAGGATAGAATTCGTACACTTAATTATCCAGTCAGTGCCGAGGTGATGCAGAGCCGTGATTGCTGCACGGGGCGGTCGCACGAGATACTGAGTTCAGCGCAACCTTGTGGCCTTATGTGACATTGAACAGTTTTCAATGCCTTTGTACAACGACAACATGTGACCACCGAGCTTCAAAATTGCACATTTGTATGTATGATATTAAATGAAATATACTGACTTTATTAGGTACAATAAATTTACTAAATATATAGTTGTGCGTTTCTTTTTTTGAATAATGTATGTAAATCGCAAAGAACAATGAAGAACGAAGCGTCGTTTATGTCTTGTCCCCGTTTATGTCTTGACTTGTCATAAACAAAAGTGAAAATGAACGCTGTACCTGAATGAACAGATCCGTGAAGATCCTTCTTCAGCAACCCATTCTTGCCGTAAAAGGCGACTATGCTTTTTCGATCGATATGGATCGATGCTCATGATGTCAATCCCTGGACTGTCTGGTATAGATTCGATTATTTACAGCCCATCTTCATATAGCTGGAATATTGCTTCAATCCAGTGATTGACATCATGAGCATCGATCCACGTGATTAGGATACGATGCCATGCATCAACCAAGTCACCGAGCCTGACCATCCGATCCCGTTTGTCGCCTCTTACAGGTATTAGACTGACATTTAGTCCCAGAAATAAAGCTGTTTTATTTAATTATTCTTTTGGGTCTTGGAGACAGAGAAGACAGGTATATGTTGCTGAAGATCAATTCTAGCCCGGATCTTCATTAATCCTTTCCATTTCTGACAAACACAAGGTGGTTTTATGCTACTAAGAAGTGAAGAATAATGCCTAATATTTGAATTCTCTCAAGAAGTTTTTTTGAGAGTTTTGTCGACAAGCTGGCGAGAAAGGGAATTCCCCCAGACGCTATCTCCAAATAAGGGACCGCCAGGGTTATTGCCCCGGATTCACGCTGACTGGCACTTATCAGTGTGCACACTGCACATTCTCAATGTTTTTCAACCTAGTTTAACAAACGTAACTGGGGTTTAATAGCTCGCCTCACTGGCTATGAAACGATCGGGTTTTGTTGGCAACTGCAGCTACATACATTTAAACAACGTTCGTTCTGCCGTCAAGTACATTTCTGTAAGTATTCCGTCCAGAATTTGACTTCTTTACAATGAACTATTCATTTTCTACCTACGGGTCATGGCTACGTGTATTTCAATCTCAAGTCAATGGCCGATGGTACAAAGGCACACTCACACTGATATGTTTGTCGTGAATAAATAAATGTTTAATATAAATCTGTTTTAGTCTAGTTATATTACTGTCCTTTGTCTTAATATTGTCTAAATATTTTATTAATAATGTAAAGACTGTCTGTAGTCACGGTATGGCTGAAATACTACTGATGTGACTATGCATCTTAACTCACTCACTCAAATAATCATAAAATAAATATTTCAACGATTACGCCATTAGAACAGAGTCTCTGTGAAAAATATGAGGGGCGGACCATTTGATATTCTGGGCGTGGTTGTGGGGGGTCGGGGGGAGACACATTGCAACGATATAAGTTTTATGTTAGGCAATTTCCTTTTTGTCACTAGTCTGACGTTTTTCAAGAATTTTCGGGGACAACTTATTTTTTTGGATAAAATAATAGTAAGTGACATCTTTCTGGTATTTGTTAATGAAACAGTATCACAATGCATTTTAATGTCTGCCTATGGCTAAGCCGCTTTCGTCGGCTTAAGTTAAACCATAGACTAAATTCATGTGGTTTTTTTCCAATCTGAGCACAAAAGGCGCTGGCTCCCTCGCCCATCCACCCCCATCCTCTCCCTCTCATAGATCATTCAGAGCGCGTTATGGATTCAGTAGTGTCATAAATAGGTAAATGTAAAATGTACGTTAAAAGTAAAATTAATAGTTCTTTTTTTGTCTGAGGTGTCTGCCGCTCAGGTAATTGAAGTTGTACATAAAATAGAAAGAAATTTGTCTGTTCACGACGATGTTAAAGAAGCCTATGATGAGTTTGTTTCTTTTTTGCATTCTAAATTAGATAAGTGTGCTTTACCATCACAGTCTAATGTTATTGTCAATGGAAGATGTAAATCATTTTATAAGCCTTATTGGTGCAATGAATTACGATCTCAATGGGATAAAGCATGCCTTGCAGAAAAATATTGGTTGAAACGCAAGTCTCGCGTCAGGAGAAAACGTTTCAAGCATAGCTATGGAGAGAGTTATCTGCCCCTGCCTAGAACGGGCGTGCTCATGCCGGCTCCCGAGAACCTTAAAAGAAAATCCAACTTTATCGGCCAACAGGAACGCCATCCACAGATAAGTACATGAAAATATTGGGAATTAACATTACATATTCATCCTGTGAAGAAATGATTTGGGAATTTTGAATATTCTGACTTTTATGAAATTCCACCCGACTCTGTGAAATCTCGCGTCGTGATACCGTGTATCGAAAATGGCTCAGTCATACTCTGCAGCGGATAATTTTGTTGAAGCTGTGATGGTTCAATCACCTGTGAATGTGCCTTTAAGCGACAAATGTGGTCCCTCGTTGGCCAAAAAAGCGAGAACGTGTAATTCTACCGATGACAATATGAGTGTGCCTGCCGGTGAGAGTGATAAAAACACTACTAACGGTGATATTATGCAAGCCATTGACAATATGAAAATGTGGTTCAGTACACAACTCTCAGAAAATGAAGATAGAGTTATGAACCGTATGAGAGTAGTACTACGTGAAGAGACGGAGAAAATGAGACGTGACTTCGATGGGCAAATTAATAAACTACATGACAAAATTATGCTTCTGGAAAATTCTCAGAAGAGTCTCAGAGATGAAGTAAGGAAAGATATCCAGATGATGGGTGATAAGATTAACAGTTTAGACGGTAAATATGCTGATGTTGTGAAACGAGCGCGTAAAGGCAGTGAAATTGAATGTAGTGTCGCAATCAAAATCTGTCACTAGATGATCGTGAAATGGACAACTCCAGTGTGACCTGTCAGTTGGTGAACCGTCTGATTCGTGATGGGCTGAAACTTACAGATGTACGTGCAGAGCGCAAACGCAGGAGTGACAACAAACCAGGCGTGACAGAAACATAAACTCATGAAGGAGAAGAAAAGCTTGAAGAGCAGTAAGGACTTCCCCCGTGTGTATATTGACGGTGCTATGTCGCAGGAAGATCTCATCGAGCGGTCGAACCTTCAGGCGGTCATCAAAGAGATTGGGGTGGACAAGAAGCTGAGATTCCAGGGTAGGAGGCTGGTGAATATCCGAGAATAGGACAGATTGCGGCTCGGGCTATGGAACAGTTGTGGGTGGTCGTTAAATGACTCTGTAAATAAACAGTTTAGGGAATCTGTGCTGGAGAAAAGTAACTGCGATGTGTTCGGGGTCTGTGAAACTTTCTTAAAGGATCAGAATAGTATCTCTGTGAAAGGATATTCCTGGTTTGGTAAAAACAGAGGCCAGTGCGACCCTAGGGCGAAACGGGGCTCGGGAGGAGTCGGTGCCTTTTTTAAAAATTCACTTTTACAATGTTTTAATGTGCACATTTTAGATGATGATACGGATGAAATTATCTGGTTTAGACTATCGCATAAGTCTGTGAAAGATTTTATTTTGGTGTTGTGTGTGTGTTATTTACCACCCACTGGTTCATCCAGGCTAAGCGATGCTGAAAGTTTTTTCGAAACATTGCTTGAAAAGTATTATTTGTATCAAAATGAAGGTTTCACAATTATTTGTGGGGACTTTAATGCACGGGTGGGGTCACAAAGAGGCTATATAGCCGGGGTAGACGAGGTGCCCGACAGAGATGTCATAGACCATACCGATAATTCTCATGGTTCTCTATTTGTATCTATGTATGTTAAATGGCCGTATTGGAAATCATGACTATACATATGTTAAAAATGGATGTTGGATCGTAGACTATATTGTGACCTCACATGAGAACTTACCTTTGTTTACTGATTTTAATGTCACGAGAATGACACGCTTTGTTGACGCCTCGTCTGTCCCTGATGTCATCCCTGATCACTCTGTTATTACTTGTGATGTGAGGATTCCTAGTGAGGTCAGTAGTACTCGGTGTGATGAACCTTTACCTGATTACAATAGCCGTAAGAAATATAAACAAAGTGGGATTGATGACAATCTTTTTGACGATACGAGTACAACACTTGTCTCTGATACTATCCGTAGAATTGAGTTTAATTTATCGGTACAACAAGACGTTAATGCTGCATATGAGGAGTTCTTAACTTGTTTATACTCTGAGCTAGACAGTAAAGTTGGCACGTATGAAAATAAAACGAAAACGTCTAACAAGAAATCCCTCCGTAAACCTTATTGGTGTGCAGAGCTTCAGTCTGCCTTGGACCTAGTAGTTGACAGTGAACGTCTATGGCTCAGATGTAAGAATGTCTCTCAGGCATTAAAACACGTCTTTGTCTCTAATCGTAAATCTTTTGATAAGCTGCATAGAAAATGCAAACGCTCCTTTCAGTTAGAACGTCAGCAGCGACTGTCGCATAAATACAAAGATAGTAATAGCAGAGATTTTTGGAAACTTATTGGTAAGATTGGCTTAGCTTCCGATCGGGATTCTGTCATTCCATGGGAGATAATCCAGGGAGACACGGTTGTCACCAATAAGTCGCGGGTTTTAGATGCATGGAAATGTGAGTATAGCTCGTTGTTTAACGCTGATCCAGTGAGTGTATTTGATGAATCTTTCTATGATCAGATTAAGGACGAGTTAAGCAACATGGTTGTTGACCCCCTCATGTAGATGTAGATGTTAACAGTCTGCAGACCCCTATATCACGCGATGAGGTAGTACGCTCTGTTAGCCGCTCTAAGTGTGGTAAGGCCGTAGGCTGTGACCATATACCTGCAGAGGCACTTAAGAATGAGACTTGTGTTGACATTCTGCACCGGATATTTACTTACTGCTTTGAGAATAATGTTTGTCCAGATATTTGGCATGAAAGTATAATAACGCCTATTAAGAAACCGGGTAGTGACCCCAGAGATCCCCTTGGCTATCGTGGTATATCACTACTTTCCATTCCCTGTAAGATATATTCAGATATACTAAACTCTCGTTTCACAAGTTGGCTAGAAGATAATGACATATTGGCTGAGGAGCAAAATGGATTTCGAAGTAAGCGTAATACTATTGAGCACATATACACTTTGTTTTCAGTAATTAATAACAGGAAATCTTCAAAGTCCTCTACATTTGTCTGTTATATTGATGCCATGAAGGCCTTTGACCGTGTTAATGGAGACTGCTTATGGTACAAACTGATGAAGTTAGGAATTAATGGTAAATTTTATTCTGCTGTAAAGTCTTTATATGACAACAGTGTATCCTGTGTATCGGTAAATGATCGGCGTACTGAAGGGTTTGATATACAGAGCGGTGTCAGGCAGGGATGTGTCTTGTCCCCATCACTATTCTCAGTATTCATTAATGACCTGGCCCATGAGATAAACAATCTAAAATGCGGTGTAGACGTTGGTGGTAGTCTTCTCAGTCTTTTGATGTATGCTGATGACATAGCATTAATTGCGCCAAATGAATATTCATTACAATCAATGCTTCACTGTGTTGCTGATTGGTGTAAGAGATAGCGAATTCAAGTTAATACCAGCAAAACTAAAGTAGTACATTATCGGCCACCATCTGTGAAACGAACATCATTTGAGTTTCAGTGTGGCAATGACAACATTGACATATGCTCATCATACAAATATCTTGGTTTATGGCTAGAAGAACACTTAAATTTGAATTCTACAGCCAAAGAAATCGCCAAATCCGCGAGTAGATCTCTGGGTGTAATTATAAGTAAATTTAAACTATTTGGAGGAATGCCATATGACGTATATAATACGCTATTCAATAATCTTGTTCAAACAATTTTATCATATGGCTCAGTTATTTTTGGCAATCGAGAATTCAGTTGTATAAACGCAGTTCAAAATAAAGCTTGTCGTTTCTTTCTCGGGGTGGGTAAATATACTCCAAATTTAGCTGTCCGGGGCGAGATGGGTTGGCATGCTCAGCTTACTAAACAGAAAATAGAAGTTTTCCGATTTT